TGTAATACATTAGCGGAATACATTTCGAACAATCTGATCACATATTATATACTTGTTAAGAACATTTATATATAAAAATAAAAGGCCGACTAGACTAGAAATGAATGGTAAGAGGAGACAAGGATAATAAACAAATGCTGGCTCAGTGGTCTAGTGATTAGTTGTTCGCGCGCAAAACTGATAGGTCCTGGGTTCGAATCTCGCGAGGTAGGATCATAGATGAGCACTGCTTAGGGGTCCAATATTAGGACAAAACGGCCATCCAGTGCTTCCAACTTTCCATGATGATCTAGCTTCCATTGTTTCATGATTTCAACCAATAAAAGTACTACAATATCCACAAAAACCCTTCTCTGATAATAAAGAAATAATTTGAAACCTCATCACTCTGGATAATAATCAATTCTTTTACTGTACATTTTAATTTTATTCATATTTCATATTTTAGACAGTTAATGAGAAGTCAAAAAAAAATAATCGTCATGTTACTTTATTCAAATCATTGTTGTTCCTCTATGAAAGATAATATAAGTTAATATTGATTACTTAACACCTACTTCTAAAATTTGAAGTAATATGGACAGTTAGTAGGAGACTGATCAACTTCAGTGCTAAGCATCAATGAGAAGACACAAGTTAACAACACTAAGTGAATTTAAGCTTCACAACATTGTACAAGCAAGTGGATATCCGGACTCAGTAGCTAAGTGGCGTTTGACGTGAACGGTACTGGATTCGAGTCCCAGAGTGAACATCAATTCTGAGATGCAGGTACATCCAGCTAACGAGTTCCAAAAAGTAAAAAACGCCTATCCTTGATTCCACTGCTATCTAATATCCGTCTTTGCTCACAATGCTTGTGAATTAAGGCAATATCGAGGCAGTGTCCACAGTATGCACATTACTTACTTACGCCTGTTACTCCTCGTGAAGGAGCATAGGCCACTCACCAGCATTCTCCATCCAACATTGTCCCAACCAGTCCTTTCTAGCTCCGTCCAGTTGTAATTCATCCTTTTCATATCTGCTTCTATTATCCGACGCAATGTGTTCTTAGGCCTTCCTCTTTTTTGCTTCTCTTCACGATTCCAAGTTAGGGCTTGCCTCGTGATGCAGTTTGACGATTTGCGTAATGTATGCCCTATCCATTTCCATCGTCTTTTCCTAATTTCTTCTTCAGCTGGAAGTTGCTTTGTTCTCTCCCACAGAAGGCTATTGCTGATGGTATCCGGCCAATGGATGTTGAGTATCTTGCGTAGGCAGCTATTTATAAATACTTGTACTTTCTTGATTGTGGTTGTTGTAGTTCTCCAAGTTTCAGCTCCATACAGTAGAACTGCCTTGACGTTCGTATTGAAGATTCTCACTTTGATATTGGTTGAAAGTTGTTTTGAGTTCCATATGTTCTTCAATTGTAGGAATGCGACCCTTGCTTTGCCGATCCTCGCCTTTACGTCTGCATCTGAACCTCCTTGTTCATCGATGATGCTTCCCAGGTATGTGAAGGACTCTACATCTTCCAGAGTTTCGCCATCAAGAGTGATTGGATTGCTGTTCTCCGCCTTGAATTTGAGGACCTTGGTTTTCCCTTTGTGTATGCTGAGGCCTACTGATGCAGAGACTGCTGCTACACTGGCTGTCTTCATCTGCATCTGTTCGTGTGTACGTGATAGGAGGGCTAGGTCGTCTGCGAAGTCCAAATCGTCTAATTGATTCTGAGTTGTCCATTGTATTCCGTGTTTTCCTTCAGATGTTGAGGTCTTCATAATCCAGTCGACCACCAGAAGAAAGAGGAAGGGAGAGAGTAAACAGCCTTGTCTGACTCCAGTCCTTACTTGGAATGCATCTGTCAGCTGTCCTCCATGCACTACTTTGCACTGTAGTCCGTCGTATGAGTTCCGGATAATGTTGACAATCTTCTCAGGAACTCCGTAGTGTCGAAGAAGTTTCCATAATGTCCTCCTATCTACACTGTCGAATGCCTTTTCATAATCAATGAAGTTGATGTATAGTGATGAGTTCCACTCAACTGATTGTTCGACGATGATCCGTAGTGTTGCAATTTGGTCTGTGCACGACCGATCCTTACGGAATCCAGCTTGTTGATCTCGAAGTTGGGCGTCTACTGCATCCTTCATCCGGTTCAGCAACACTCTGTTGAAGACTTTCCCTGGTATTGACAGTAGTGTAATGCCTCTGTAGTTTTCACATTTGCTCAGATCTCCTTTCTTTGGAATCTTGACGAGGTGTCCTTCTTTCCAGTCCATCGGCACTTGTTCCTCCTCCCAAATCTTTTTGAATAGAAGGTATAGCATGCTTGTGAGAGCTGACCTTAATAAAAACTTGTACTTTTGAAAGCATTGTCAATCGATTGCTGTATAGCTTTTTTTATTTTATTAGAAAATTTTTTATCTTATTCTATATAATTTTATTCATTTACTTTAATTATTCATGTTTGTATATGTGATGTACACTACTCATTGGGATAGATATAAGTAGTATGTAGAAGGGATTGGAAATGGAATGCTTACCAGAATAAGATTCAAATGAAGAGAACAAGAAGGAAAAGAGGAGAGAGAGCAATCAGATTAACAAAGGGATAGGGAAGAACGAAGAAATGTGCAGACGACAACCCAAGGAAGATTTATAAATGATGTATTCAATATATGATTTTCATATTTTACAAAAACACTGTAAAACAATGAACTGGTTTTCCCCACCAACTCTTCATTCATTATATATAATAACATCTAAGAAAATCAAGAGGATCTTGATAAAATATCCTGTGCTGAAAGTTTTATATTGCACTAAAGATATAATAGTGAATAAAGTCATTATTATTGTGTGCAAGAAATCTCCATAAATGTTTGAAAGTTTACAGATTTAATTTTTGGATATACTTGTATTTATGCTAAGAATGCAAGCTGATCTAAGTCGGGAAATCATTGAAATCCTGAAAACACGGAACAGTCATTTAAACTTAGTATAAGACCCCTCAACAATGCTCACTCACGACTCCTCATCCTGTGGTTGAATCCAATACCTTCAATCTCACGCGAAAACGTTTAATCTCTGAACCACTAAACCGCTATGTAACGATATACAAGTCAAACTTCAACCAAACCACGATATTGCGCAACCATATTACTTCATATCGTATTCTTACAACCATAAAAATAGCAAAAGAACATTGACGTTTTTAGTTTTGGATCACGGATCGGTAACAAATGGAAATCCATGGACATTGAGTAGCTGTTTCGTTTAGTATGGTGCTCTTCAGTAGCAACTATCCACGATCCTATCAGAAATTAAGCCTAGTATCATCAAGCATCGCTGCGATTAGTTGACCTTCAGGTCATTGAATTGACATCTAGTAGTTTGTACTTGTATCTTCAGTTAATTACTGATATTATGAAACCATTGTCCATATCCTCTATGAGACAAATTTTATCTATGAAAATTGGTAATGGTCATGATTTATTGCAAACAAATTGAATTTAAACACACAAACCACTGAATGTCAACACACAGATTTGAACGGTAAGCACTCGTTCACCAGGCGAAATGTTGAACGATTGTCTAATTAAAGTGTATCTGTTATATTAAACTACAAAATTTAACAATTCCTACAATGTATATGTATAGTGTACGTTATTATTGATTTAGACATAATCAAACCTACTGCACTATGTAACAAAATCGATTGTCGTTATATGAAACCCTCTTGAAAATTAATATAAACAAAATGGGTAACATGTAATCGTTTGACAAATTTATTTATTTATTTAACTAGAAGTCCCATATTAAGATGAAATGGCCATCTAGTACATTCGAGTTTTCCATAGTTGTCTAGCTTAGATCAACTCATGAATTCACCTATGAAAATATTGTAATCAATGCTTATTCTCAATAAAATAAATTCTTTTCATAGAATAAGAACATTTTCTAGAAATAAAACGTTGAGACTATAATTTATGGATAAACCAATCACGTATAAGATAACAGGTTTTGGATTTTGGCGCGAAATTCACTCATTCATTCGGATAAATAGAGTTTTGGCATTATAGCTGATATCAGTTCATGGTGAAAATCTTAAGTCTAATTTGTAACCTTACTCATCAAGTGTAAATCATAATTCTAATTCCTCACACAGGTTTCTAACCTTTATTTGGTACTGGTTATTAGATGGACACTCTCAAGATCAGTCTAGCGTCACTCCATAAATTATAGTCTCACCAAAAAAAACTTGTTAGGAAGAAGTGAATTCACTTTATTTCATGTATTTTAAGTCTTTTTTAAATAGTTTATTAAGGGTAATTATTTTTCCTAATGTAGCTTCCTGCATATTAATTGGTAGTAGAATAAAATGAAATGGTTTAATGAAATGATTTATCTCCTGATTACCCTATTGTTCTATCCATTGTTTATAATTACAGTCTAATCAACACTTAAAATATTTAAAGGTACGTTTTAGCATGGAATGATATCAAAATCTATGGATTTGATGTGAATAGTGAGTATAGAAAATTGTTATCATTATAGCTAAAATCACTTGATATATGCTATCCTATTAACCTGAGGACTTAACGGTTCTAAGTTTGACCCTATATAATCATAGGTTGTCTGTGGACACTCGTAATAAGTCCCAATTCAGGTTCCCCTTTTAGATGTTATTCAATATTACATCATCTATTTGTATTAAATTTTACAGGAATTAATACCAATTCAGTGATATAAAAGTTACACAATGACCATCAAATCCGAAAATCTTTAGCTGGACTTCTCATAGGGTCGTAGTTGTACGCCATTGAAAAGACTAATAATAGGGCACAACATCTATTCTGCCCATTTATATTTGCAACGGTTACATAACCGAAATCAGTGATTGGTGTAAACGTTTTATACAACAATGATTACCTTATAAATTAGTTTTTTTTAATATTTTATTTCTGTATAATATCACAAATGTTGTCTGTTATTAAATAATGTAGATAACTTACATCTTTGGGAAAACATTTTTGATCACATAACTTAAGTACTGAACAAATATCTTTTATTTTTTCACAATATATTCCTTCATAACCAGGTTGACATACACATTCTCCAGTTGATTTACAAGTTGCACCATTTAGGCAGTATTCAGGACACTTCATTTCACGTTTAAACTGTTTTTTACACGTTCGACCATCAGATTGTAATTCATAATCCGGATCACAAAAACATTGATATGATCCTAATGTATTGATGCAATGATGTTCACAGAAATGTTTTGACCATTTTCATTCAAGCATTCGTTTACATCGTTTTGACAGTTTGTTCCGTAAAATCCTTCTAAGCAAGTACATAAAGTTTGATCAGTGTCATTTGAAAACACAGTTCGACAGCTTCCATATATACAGTCTATACCATCTTTACATATACGCTGACATCGTCTAGGATTATTTGGACTTGGTTCAAAACCTTCATTACATTTACATATATACTTCCCATACCTAAATCCTCACAAATTTGGTCACATGGTTTAATTGCACATGAATCTACTGTTTGCTTACAATTAAGTCCAAAATGTCCAAGCTTGCATTCACAGTCACATTCTCCATCTATTAAACTGCAGTGAGAAGGACAAGAAATAGGTTCACATTTTGATGAATTTACAGTGAGTAATTTGTAGCCTGAATGACAAGAACACTTAAAAGACCCAGGAGTATTGATACATTCTTGTTGACAATTATGTTTTCCTTCGGCGCATTCATCTACATCTGTCTCACAAGATAACCCTCGAAAACCTGGATTACACAGGCATTTTCCATTAGATGTACACTCACCTTGTCCATGAACACATTCAGGACTACATTTATTTGGAAGACAGTGACCTTTGTGATCCTGGTGATACCCTTTATCACACGTACAATAATATGACCCATACGTATTAACGCAGCCTTGAACACAAGGCTTAGGTTTCAACTCGCATTCATTTATGTCTTCAGAACAGTCAAGACCTGTAAATCCACGACGACATAAACATTTTCCAGTGGCATCACATTTTCCCTTATTAGACATGCATCTCTCTGAACATTTAGATTTACAATTCAAACCATTACCACTTTGTGATTCATATCCCTCATAGCATTCACAGCTAAAAGAGCCGTATGTATTAACACATCTTTGAGAGCAGTTATGTGTTCCTGTCTTACACTCATCTATATCTTCACTGCAATCTGATCCGGTAAACCCCGGTCGGCAGGTGCATATTCCATCATCAGAACAAAATCCTTGATTAATAGTACATCTAGGATTGCACGTGACTTGATGGCAAGATTTTCTATCAGTCAAGTTAAGTTTGTACCCTGAGTGACATTCACATAGGTAGGATCCAGGAGTATTAATGCATACTTGTTCACAGTTATGTGTTCCTGATTTACATTCATCAATGTCTAAATTGCACCACTCTCCTGTATAACCTGGTAAACAGTGACATTTGCCTGTCGTGTCACATTTTCCATTTCCTAAGTGGCATTTCGTCAAACACTCTGATGGTTTACATCTTTTTGGGTTGTCTTGTACAACGACATAACCGTTTTCGCACTCGCACCGAAACGAGCCATAAGTATTAACACATCTTTGTTCACATCCACTCCTACCACTTAGACATTCGTCAACATCATACTCACAGTTAGGTCCTGTTAAACCGGATGGACAATTATCTTCCAATTCACATGATTGTCCCTTAAAACCAGGGTAACAAAAGCACTTCCCAGTTTTCGGATCACAACGACCTCTTCCATTACATCCTAAAGGGCATTTGAATATATCTAGATCGACCGAAACACAGGATGAATCGTTATTTTGTAATGCCCAGGGGTTGCATACGCATAATACATCAGAAGGTTTAGAACCGTTTTTAACACAGCCAAAACTGCATTGCAGATTTAACATTTGCTTACAAACTGTTGAATTCATTACATTACACTGTACACCATAGTTTGCTTGTGTACATGATGGATCGTTCTGATAACATGGTGTAGAGCCCAAACACGGAGGATTTTGTGTACAAGTTGATCGACCATCTGAATAATAATCACATTGAGCAGGAATACAAAACGGTGGTATGCATTCATCAAATTGTCTTGCACTTTGTGACCATAAATAAGTAGATATTTCAGCTCCTTGTTGTGTACTAAATGAATTTGGTGCATAACCCCAATATTGTTCTTTCGCATTCCAAACACGATCGTTAGGATGGGATAAAGTCATAACACTTTCAAAATAATTTTCAGGCTTTGTATTACCATATTCAATCGGACTATCTGATGAATAAATGCTTACATAATCATTTACTTCACGATCTGATAATGTATGATTTCTTTTCCTATAATCAATATTTCTATTAGGATAATTACTAGACAGAAAATTTTTCTTCCACCATTCTTGTGAATATTTTCTTACTGAAGGATTAACATATTCTATATTTCTTGAATATGGTACCCAACGTCTTTGAAATCGATATGTATTAGATTGTTGTAATGAGGATTTCGATAAATAGGTGAATTTCTATAAGGTGAACGTTGATTATTACTATATGGAAATTGTGTCTGGTCATTATTCACATGTACATTATAAGATGGTAATATATTTCGATGATGACGTTGATTATTATAATAATAATTTCTTATAAAATGATTATTTTTATTATTTTCTTGATTATATGGATTGACATGTTCATTCCAATTGGAATTTAACTTATTACAATTAATGAATGATAAATGTAAATGTATTATGAATAATATTGAAAATGTTGTATAATAAGAATAAAATAATTTTATATCAAATTTCATATATATTAAATTCATTTTGTTTAAAATAATTGAAATGAAATCGTTTATATTTTTATTTTATGGATACATGTTATCTATTGATGAATATAATGAATAATTTAGCCGCCAAAAAATTTTGTTAAACAAAAATACAAACTATAAATTAACCAATCAAATGTATCCTTGCAATTGACCAATCATATTTCAAGAATCAGAAATAAATAGAAAAATTAATTTCTATTTTATAGATTCCTTGATCTTTTAATCATAAATGCAGATGATTGTAAATAAATGATGTATGTAAATTCAATGGTTAAGATCATGAGTCAGTTGAAGCTAGACCACCATGGAAAACCTGGAAGCACTGGATGGCCATTCCGTTCTATTGTGGGACTGCTCAATAGGACTAAACGGCCGTCCAGTGCTTCTAGGTTTTTCATAATGGTCTAGCCTCAACTGACTCATGATCTTAACCATTGAAATTACTACGATCTCCACAAAACCCATCTGATGTATGTAAATCTAAAATAAAATAAGAAATTTCGGTGAGACTATAATGTATGGACAATCTTTGAACGATAGCAAAGTGACCTTGAGAATGTCTACCTAGTTATTAGGGCTAAATGAAGGTTAGAAAGCAATTTGAAGAATAAAGATGATGATTTACAGTTGATGTCAAGATTGAGGATTTAGATTTATGGTTTTCATCATGAACTGAGATCAGCTAAAATCTTAAAACGCTATTTGGACGAATGGATGAGTGAATTTCGCGCCAAAATCAGAGACCTGTTATCTTATACGTGATTGGTTCGTCCATAAATTATAGTCTCACCGAAATTTAGATAAATAAATTAATCTATAGACTGTTTTTATTTAGTAAGTTTGTAAATAGATGATTTTTGTGATAGATAATTAACTACTGACAATCAGATTTAAATAATCTAATAAATTATATTCACTGATAGTGTTAATATAAATTATAGTTGAAACGCTTGAATGACTAACCTGTTATAACTTGTGGGCCTTGTGCCCTATTAATATATGACGTAATGATACCAGCAATTAGAAAACAATGAATTACCAATCGGACCAATGACGTATAAAACCCCTACGAGCATTCCAGAGTTCTTATCGGTCCTATCTTCCTTCCTAGACCTTCCTGTTAAGTCCAGAACACCAATCTCAGCCTATGCGATATCAATCATGTGTTTCAAACATACTGGGTTTATATACAAACGTAGAAAGACCACATCGTACCATAAAATAGAAAATAACATTTGTTCAAGATCTAGCCAAAAGTGTCTATGAATGTAGGAGACTGTAATTAATTGACTGGGCATAACTTAAGAACGGTAAATCGTATAATAATAGTCGATGGGTCAAAATAAAGCTTATAATGAGAGAAACATCAATATACATATTTTAGTTACTTAACGACTATACAACGAAAATAAATGTATAGTATTAGTTCAGAAACAGATCCCAACAGTTACCACTCATTATTCTCGTCGGGATAATCTTACTTAATCTTATTACGAATTGTTAATTAAATAAAAATGGACTCATAAAACATATAGGACACTATTAGCAAGATAGCGAATTTTATATATGACCTATTGATATCCGATGATGTTCAAAGGTGGTTGAATATCTAGTAAACTTAAGAGCTGAAATACTAACCACTTTTCCATTCGTTATGATAGCCATTATTACAATAACGAAGTGCCACTATTAAACAAACTTTAGTATAGAATACTTCCTCGGATCCTAACTAGATTATTGGAAACACATAAAACTGACAAATCAAACAAGAGATTTGCACAGAAATTATATCACCATATAAAAAATCACCGTAAACAAAGTGGTTTTTAAGCTTTACATAATGAAGTATTCCGGGTGATAATAATGTCTTGAAACACAGTCAACGGTAAGATCCGATACTGAAACAACAACCAATCAGAAATATCATGCACAAACATAAGAACAAAAATCAAAACAATGGGAGACACAACCAAAACAAAGAAGTAAACAATGACAAATTTAAGGTCAATAAGAACCAATCGACATCGAGGTGCACAGAACAAGCTTTGAAACACATAGAGAAATTCAAACACTTCACTTCTATCTGAAGTTTGTGTTGATGATGTCATTCAGAAGAACGATGAAAGCCCCACGACCAAACCATCCAGCTCAGAGAACAAAACTTCACTAAAATCATCCACCTGAGCTACAAATCTTCTCCACCAACTGGGTAAGAGAATAGAGATTTGTGAAATGAGTTCGACCAGTTATTAAAATTAAGCTGAGCATTGTTGTTATTCCGGCGCTGCTTAGTACTTATAATTGACAATGAGGAACTACGACAAGTAAGCGTATCAAGACTGATACAATTGAACACATATTAACCCCAAGGCACAGCGACGACTCTAGTTAAAAGTACACTTATTCATATATATTTTTTACACACAATTGATTATTAATTAATTAAATATTAGTTTTGAATTCATCTGTTTGTTGATTATTTTGAAATATTTTGCAACTTCGACATTATGCTCACTGCTGAACAAGTGACTAGCATTTACACTGTTGAAAATCTTCCGTCTTTTAAATCTAAACTATTGTCGAATGTGTTCAAAAATGCAGACATAAATCCTACTTTATATTCCTCCGATATATATGTTTTGGCACGCACATTTAAACTGGTAAATACAATTGGAGGTATGACAAAGCGAGTATTGTCCACGTCTGATTGTCGCAATGAGCATTTGTTTTTGTAACCGAGACACTAAGTTGGCTACTTGATATGTTCTTTTTAGTACTCCCTTTAGTCTGATACCAGTCGAATAAGCTATTTCATTGTCTTTGAAGCCAAGTTTTGAGAAGCCAGGCTTTTTCCCAACCACGAGAACGGTTATCTAGAAAAATTCATTAGTATATACGGGATGACGTGAGTAAATGAGATCAAATGTTCTACAGTCAATCAAAGTAGATGAAATCATCTTTGAGCAAAACTAATACACAATTTGATAATTATTAAAGTGGATTATTTTCAATAGTTCTTAACGATGGCCTTTTAGTTTTCTACAGTTTGCGGATTTTAAACAAATTATGACATTATTTTCTGTTAAATGCTCTGAGTGTGATAAAATCTGATACATCATGTTGGTGTGTAGAACAATCGCAAATTTCCCAACTAGTGATAATAAACCTTATGAATGTGATCTTAATATGATTGGTGATGTTAATAATCATATGCTTTCTTTATTAACCACTTCTGACAAGTATTTCTCGTTCAGAAACAATTATACATAATAAATGCTTTGTTTCATGATTTCGTTATTGAAGTATCAAATCTATCATTCAGTTAGAAACTTAAAATCACTAGAACCCTCTGCTGGAATATAACATGTTAATATCCCTACATTTATCATTACTGGTAACAAACTGCCAATTCCCGGTTATTTCAATATCCTGATTAAAGATTAAAAGCCCTCACTAATGAACTGTGTAATTCTGATAACTAAGAGTGAACCACCTTTATTCAGATTACAAAATCTACAGATGCTTCGAATACAACTTTCATTATTGACTACTGCAGACTATCTACATTATTCGTCTGAAAATTTTATTACTGTTATGACAGGCGGTGCCCGAGATCTGATACTGATACACAAATAACTACGCGTGGCCTCTCCAAAGTGATTACTTGAGTGAGAAGACAGGAGAGGAAGAGAAAGTCTGTTGAGTTACCAGGCCATATACACATATACTTATTTATATATACATGTGTCTACCCCTTAGAAAATGAAATCACTGTTTGGTCAATGAAACGCATTTATCCCACGAGTCATTTCTGGTTGTTGTCGGGTAACCTTGTCTAGCCACTTCCGATTGGCGCACTATATCAAATACCACAAATTTAATGTGCTAAGAGTTGTTAACATGTTCAAAAAATTCCTACTGTTATTCTCAAACATGAAACACTGCGCCGATAAAATCTGTAGGCGATTCCGTTCCAGGCGCAAGGCTTAGAAACCCAAGATGACTGGATGAATTCTCGCAACACAAAAAAGCTTTATCGTCTGATTCAAAGAGACGATGACAAAAATCAACTTATTTTACTGCAACTCACGGTTTTCTGCTTGTATAACATTTTATTTAGGTTTTAGTCTTTATCTGTTTGTGTTTTTTGCATAAGTTATCAGAAAACCTCTGACTGATGACTTGAAAGTGTAGAAAAGGCGTTTGTCATCTCCCACGTTGTCGACATCCGTTCAACAGTGGTATGCAGTGCTGCAAGTCAGAAGAATGGTATCACGAGGTATGCAGAAACTTATCATCTGCAGCTTTCAAAAGATTTAATAAATCTGGATGCGTGTGGTTGTGTCAACAATGTTGCTCAGAACCAATAGGGATTGTGTTCAAAGGCCACTGCAATGGCGAACGCTGCTAAGAAGCATATCAACAAGTACAACCGAGAAAGCTATGTAGATAAACAAATATACTCGCAGTCTTCTTAATTAAGATCAGAGTCGATGTACTGACATGGGCTGAAGCATGAAGGATTCACTTCACAGAGGTCGGTCAGGAATAAGAATCCCATTTGATTGTGTGCCTCTCCCTCAAAATGGCAGTAGACAGTAAACTCCTGGAAAACCCAATCTTAAGACCAGGTCCGTCTTGAACAGAACCTGAACATCCTGGTTGTTGAAAATTCTTCAGTGTCTAACACCACTATGACTGGGACTCCAGTGAAGAACGAATACTGGGTACAAAGTAAGAGTGTAAAACCCATTTCTGTATGCTCCTGTGCGAATTTAGAAAAAATCCATCCACGCCTGTTTTTCTTATGAGTAGTCCTTTGAGTTCCTGCACTATGTATTCTTTCTCCTAATGTTGTCTGTATTTTGTTATATATTTGTTTTCATTTTTGGTATGCGTTGCAGTTATTATTGCTATATTGTTTGCAAATTCTGAATTCTACTTCTTTGATGTTATTGAAGCTTTTAATAACTGCTTTCTCTTTGTTTTACTTAGCATCGTTTTTAAGGCCCTCGCTATACTGAATTCTTATACCTTGGTGTATACTTTGTGCGCTAGTTGCCTCTGTTTCTTGTGGTTAATTTTGAAGTATATTCGTTTATAGTTCTGGGGACATTTTGTATTATGCACTAGTAGTTAAATTTGTTTTATGCAACTATCGTTTTCCAGTTGATTGCTTATCTTTGGAGCACAAGAAATTGGACTATCCTTCTTCTTCGAGTAGGCTATTGTTCCAACTGTGATAACTGGGTTTATGGTGACATATATTCAGTGACTTTTGTAACAACAAAAATAAAAACCACACTTTTTCTCTAATTTGTCACACCTTATTTTTAACCACATTTTTATTCAATATCTGTTGTTTTGCTGTATCACTTGTTAAAAAGACGATAATATTTGTTTCGATGAATGATATACGATTCTACTACCGCGTTGTTTAAAATATAGAACACTATCTACGCCGTTCGTTCTTCTGTTTTATTGGCCACCGTTCTGATTGAAGACTATAATAGTATTATAACATCATTATAGGCCTTCCGACTCAACGTTGGACTTTTGGCGCGGTTTACTATTGCATAATACTATTGGACTCCGTCTTCCTCATTACGTCATTGGTGCAGTCACTTGCAGAGGAACACCTGTCAATCAAGTGAACTCAGTTTGTGGTCGTTGTTCTCACGTGGCAGTTAACAAGTAACATTCATTCTATAGTAACTGTTAGCGTCTGTTTGTTTAATATACCTTTTGTATTGCTAACGGTATTTTATTACCTTTGTTTTTACTACCGGACAGACATCTAGGTTTCTTTACCATTAATTTGTTTTGGTATATCATTGTTAACCTAGTGTATCAATATATTTTGTGTAAGCTCCTTTTGTTTGGGAACCACCACAGGTTTTATCAAGTGTACTGTTCATGTACCATTATTTTCGTCTGTACCTATAATCTTTCCTGTAGCACCTTTCTTGGGTATCGTGTGATCCATTTTAAAAGTTTGTTACACTATTGTCAGGAGTTTATCGGGTATTGTCGTCTTTTGAATGATTGAACTCGAAAGAACCTCACCATTAATCTATCAATGAACAGGCACAATAAACATCTAGATCTAACCAAAAGTAAGAAAGGATCTAGTATCATAGAAGAAAAACAGATTTCCATAATTGTAGCTGAGAAATTCAAACTGATCATAGTAAGAGGTCAGTTGTCCTTTAGAAGGTCATGTAGAGGGAATGTTCTGAGCCCAAAACTGGTTCTGAGCATGAGATTCGGTTGAAGAATGATCTACTCAACCAGCTATTGTCTCAAAATCTCTCTGTTGTCACCTCACTAAACGTTAATAGACTATGTGACCTGAGAGCCTTTGACGAAATCAAATAAGGCTGCTAAATACGGCAGTAAAAGCTTTCAATGAGTGGCTTAATGCTAAGAATGGACATAAACTAAGGGGACCGATAGTTCTCGTCGATATGACGGGATTAGGAAGCGAAATTACATTCTTTTATTCATTGTGATTTAGTCCAGTATTACTTCTGATTAAATCCAACGTGATGATTTATCGGTGTAGCATTTGATTTGTTTTCCAAAAGCGATTCCGACATAACAATTGGCGACAGTCATAACTGTTACAGGAGAACTGAAGACATTTGGCGGATTAAAACCCTTTT